TTATAAAATATAATGCATGGGAATGGTTGTATGAAACACAATAGGAATGAAAAATGTATGTAATACAGTGTACATAAACTTTGTGAGCAAACCAATATAAAATAAAAAAGAAACAAAAATATATAAATTCCAAGGGGTGGAGGGGAATGTATCTACAATTATGCTAAGTGAACAACTCAGTCCTGAAAGGACAAGTACCATGTGAAACCATCATTGTAAAAATAGGAAGAAAACTAATAAAATTGCTATAAGGATTCAAAGTGGGAGGGTAAGAGCATAGAGGTGAAGATGGATAGGAAGATAATCATAAGGTCACACAATTTGATTGGTAGAGAAAGTAGTAGGTAAAGGAAATGTGAAAGATCCTGTGTGGGAAAAAAAACCAAAAACCAATGTATAAAAACTTTGTAAGCAAATTAATATAATATAAAAATTTATTTTAAAATAGTAAGAACTGCAGCTCCAGTTTTAACAATCCAACGGCATATCAGGTGGCAACACAATGTAATACAAAAAGCATTAAAGACAAAACCTCACAGACTTAGGTTTGAATATAGACTCATTCATTTCTTAGTTATAGGGTCTATATTCAACAAGTAATTTAACTTCTCTGGGCTTCTGTTTCATTATTTGCAAATGATAAGAATTTCTCCTTGTAATGATTGTCTTGCAGATGAAAGGAAATGTTTCTGAAACACCTAGCACAATAATAACTATCCAATGCCTAAATTTTTTTGTTTACAAAACGTCAAGTACCATTAATACTGCAAATCTTGTGCTGTCTGAAGCCTGCAGAGTTGACAAATAAGGTCTCATTGTTTCGACCCTCAGGGAAGTAAGTGGAACTGTGCTTTTAAACAAATCCACATGGAGTCCTTTGCCAGATTCCTGCTTGCTGACTACACGTTTTCTTCTTCCAGACTAACACCTACCTCATTACGCTCCAGCTCTTACCGTACACAGCCGAAGGGCTGGGCTGCCAGAAGAATTCTTTTTAATGTCTTTTCCAGGTGGTTTGACATTGTATACAATAGATCTATTGTATTAGGTGTTACTACATTCAATTTGGACTCCTGGTGACCCCATGTGACAGAGTAGAGTTGTCCCACCACATTTTCTAGGCCTTAATCTTTATGACAACAATCTCCTGCAGAGCCTCTGTGGGGGTTTGAACTTGTCAACTCTTGAATTAACGGGTGAGCACTTAATCATTGTGTTATTAGTATTGCTTGTAAAGTGACTAGATGCTCCATCATGCTATTGAAATTTTGCATGAGCAGGAAAAAATGATACCACATTAACTGCTTGTGACTGCTATTAAATTTGCCTAAAAATGTCAACTTTAATTCAACATAGATGAAAAGATTGTCAATAAATCTCAGATTCTCAGCATCTTCCTTCCAGTTTTTTCCTCCAGCTATAATCATCATTGTCATCATCCTCATTCTCGTGCTGGTTCTTACCCATTTTTCTGCTTTTTTCCTTTTCTATTCCCTATCCTACTCGATGGTCCAGTTTGTAAAAAATTCACCTTCTAGATTCCATTGCTATTGTTGTCTTGGTTGGTATATCCAACAGAAGACTGGAGATGGAGGATGCAGATGTTTTCCCTACTCTCTTATTGCTCTGTTTGCACTTGTAGCAGTCACTGCGTCTCTTCAACCACAGCTCATGTCAAGTAGCTCCCACTCGAAGAATTAAGCTTTCACTGGGCTCCATAATACTATTTCCTTAGACTTACAACCTATATACGTTCCTATTCCCAAGAAAGGTGATCCAATAAAATGAGAAAATTTTAGAACAAAATCATTACTATTATGTGCAAGCAAAATATTACTGAAGATTATCAAAAAGTGGCTAGAACAGTACATTGACAGAGAACTGCCAGAAGTTCAAGCTGGGTTTAGAAAAGGCTGTAGAGCAGGGATATTACTAGTGCTGTCAACTGGATCCTGACTGAAAGAAAAGAATACCAGATGATGTCTAATTGTATTTTATTTACTATGCAAAGACATTTGACTGTGTGGATCATAAAAAAACTATAGCTGACATTAGGAGAATGGAAATTCCAGAATATTTAATTATGCTCATATGAAACCTATACCTAGATAAAGAAGCTGTTGTCCAAACAGGACACGGTTTTAAATCAAGAAAGGTATGCCTCAAGGTTATATCCTTTCTCTATACCTATTAAATCTGTAGGCTGAGCAAATAATTCAAGAAGCTGGGATTTATGAAAAAAAAAAAGCATGGCATCAGGATTGAAAGAAGACTCAATAACAATCTGTGTTATGTAGATGATACAACCTCGCTTCTTGAAAGTGAGAAAGACTTGAAGTTCTAGATGCAGAAGATCAAAGATTATTGCCGTCGATACAAATTACATCTCAACATTAAGAATCCAAAAACTTGGACTAAAGAACTTGAATTCACAATCAACACCTTTGGAATCAACAGTCAAAAAAAAAATCAAAAGACATATTGCATTAGGAAAGTCTGCTTTTAGGCATCTCTCAAAAGACCTGAAGATCAATTATGTCCGTTTAAAGACTAAGGTGCAAGGTGCAACTGACTTAGATCTTGGTTTTTTAAATCTGTTGCTATATATATGAGAGCTGGACAATTAATAGAAATGATAGATGAATCAACACCTTTAAGCTGGGGTTTTGGAGTAGAGCGCTGAATTTCTCATCGAGTGCCAAAAGAATAAACAGATATGTTTTAAGGATATTAGAGTACTCCTTAGATACAAGGATGGTAAAGCTAAGTCTCACACACTGTGCTCATGGTCATTGTTTTTAGGTGCTGTCAAGTCGAGTATGACTTATAGCAACCCTATGAACAATAGGTCTAAACTCTGTGCCATTTTCACACTTCCTGGCACACTAGAGCCCATTGCAGTCACCTGGTGGAGGGTCTTTCACTCCTTTGCCAACCTTCTGCCCTTCCAAGTATCATGTCCCTAGTCTCATCGTTCTTACTTCCAAAGAACGCTCTGGCCCTTATCAAGACATATTTATTTGTATACTCGGGGTCGGGATGGGGGTGGTGGTGTATGGGGTGAATTGTATACCAATGAAGGAGTTTTTCTTTTGCTTTTCATGGAGAAGAGTGAACTGGGGGTGGGGGTGCAGTGGGTGGGGAGAAAAGTGCAACAATGAATGAATGGAAATCCAAAATCTTTGTAGATGTTCATTGAAATCAATAAACAAAAAAAGTAAAAAAAAAAAAAAACCTTTGTGTAAAAAAAAAATTTAAATCAAAAGACAGCAAAAGGAATCTATCCCCATAGTCAGTGGTTTTAATGTATGCTACTTCAGACACCAGAACCACTGTCACTATATAAAGTATAAAGCAGAGTAATTCAGTAACAAATGGTATTATGCCATAAAATTAATTTAGACTCTGTTGAAAATAAACAAAATCTATTTCTGGAAGAAAAAAAAAGACATTTATTTATTCTTTTGGCCATCCATGGCATGGTCAGGGCTCTTCTCCAACACCACAGCTCAAAGGCATCAATTCTTTTTTTCTGTCATCCTTATTCATGGTCATTTCTGACCATTTGCTATGCATCTGAAAACTGGACAATGGATGGGGTTGGTGACAGTTTCAATCTCTTCTCCATCCTTCATGATGCTGTCTATCAGTAAAGTGGTAAGAATCTTTGTTTTCTTGACATTGAGCACTTAACTGTGAAACCTCTACCTAGACCAGGAGGCTGTTGTGCAAGTAGAATGGTGGAACACTGCATGGTTTAAAATTAAGAAGGAAAAAAGGAGCTCAGGTGGCCTAGTGGCAAGAAGCTGCATTGCAATCCCAAAGGCGTGGGGTTTGAATTCACCAGATGCTTTGTTGGAAAAGGAGGGGCACTCTCCTCCTGTACCAGTCAGATACAATTCAAAGGTACACACACACACACACACAAATACTTTAAAAAATAGTAAAAGAACAAACATTTTAAAAAATTAAGAAAGGAGTGTATCTCCATCCTATTCAGTCAGTATCCTGAACAAATTATTCAAAGAGATGGACTCTTTGAAGAGGCATGTAGCATCAGGATCAGAAGAAGACTCATCAATAACCTGTTATGCAGTTGAGACAACCTGGCTTGCTGAAAATGAGGAGAGCTTGAAGTGCTTTTTGCAGAAGATCAAGAAATACAGGCTTCAGTATGGATTGCATCTCAATGACATGCAATGGGCATGTTGTTAGGATGGGCTATTTCTTGAAAAGGGACATCATACTAGGAAAGGTGGAGTGTCAGCCAACAAGAGGAAGACCCTCAGCAAGATGGATTGACAGTGACTGTGGCAATGAGCTCAAGCATGCCAGAAATAATGAGAATGGTACCGGGCAGATAAGGTCACTGTGCGTCGTACTCAATTTGATGGCACCTACCAGCAGCAACGTTTTTATGGGAGTAAACTGTCAGATCTCTCTCTTACTGAGTCACTGTGTAGGTTCAAACTACTGACATTTCAGTTAGCTGTCAAGCAAATTAACCATAAATCTCCATAGGGGTTTAACAGAAATTATTGTTACAATTTTGAAAAACCTGGGAGGGCAATTCTACTCTGCTCTATAATGTCATGATGAGTCATAAACAATAGCAACAGGTTTTTTTCATGGATATTCCTCATGCCAACAATAAAGTTTCCTCCTAATCTTCTTTAAGTATCATTTCTACAAAGCTATCTTGTGAAGTTCGCCTCTCTTAATATTTGTTCACAGGTACAATATTTCTGTGCTTACTTGATTATCATCAGTCACATCCACTAAGTTTCTTGAGGTCAGAGCCCATATCTGATGTCTCTAGCACATTGTGCATTGTCTGACCAACAGCAAGCACTTGAATGCTTTAATATCTATATGTAGTGACACTGGAGAAGCTTTTCTAAAAGTTCCATTGTGTAGTTGCCATGGAGTGAAGGCAAATAGTAACAGTAGGCAAGTGACTGTTGCCAAGGCAGGACCAATACACATCAGGGGACCTGACCATGTGTGGTTGCACACACAGCACTCAGGATCAAGCCCCCTACCAGAAAGGGGAATCCAATTCTTCTGCAGCTCCAACATCCATTTTAAAACACAGGAAAATGCCCAAAAGGTCAGTAGTGCTTGACTCTCTTTTACTGCACTTTATTTAACTTGCAGATGTGTTTCCAAAAAGTTCATGTCAACATCTTGACAGCCAAGACATTGCAAGTTTAGGATCTATTACTTGCCTTAATGTACCTATACATTTAATGGGGGTAGGGGGACAAAGAATGATCTTTACTTCACTACAAACTGGAGAAAGATCTGATTTACACAAATACCATTGATTGCCTCTTGAAAAATATTTATGAATCAAAATTGGTAATGATTTTAACTGTATAATGTACTTTTTCCAAATTATCTGCAATAGAAAGAAATTGCTTCCTATCATTCAAATGTATAAAATTAGGTTTAATAAATGACACATATTCTTCCTTATGCATTTCTATTTAGGGAACATGCTTTAGTTCAGAAAATAGTTTTTGTGCCTTAATAAGCGATGTCTTTTGCTAGACAATGAGGGGAAGGAAAAATAGAGAAGCAGCATAGCTCTTGCTCTCAAGGGATCCTGGACTAATGGAAGAGAGAGGAAATAGATCATGACGATAAAAAATTACACATGTCATGTTGCAAGTTCACATTGTGCAAAATGAAAAGACTGCATCAAGGCAGATAAAGACACCCATGAAAGAAAGGAGTTCTGTAGAATGAAGTTGGGCTCATCCAGAGGACTTTAAGCGGTCCAAGATACCAAAATCAAGCTTCCTACATATAAGAAAACCTAAGTTCCCTAAGGAGGTGATCCTTCAGGCAGTTAGTGCCAAATCCAGATCCTAAACCCACTTCTTTAAGAAAAATTATACTGACTTATTTACAAAGTTTGAATACATTGTTTTTCACAAAAGAACTTTCCCATTTCCTTCATCCCACTCAGCCATCAAATTTTGCAACCCTATGATTAACACCCTACCCCCCATCCTTACCTCTTTATTTCCACCCTACCCCCCAGATCCTCATACTCATTCTTCAATAATGTTTTATACAGTATTTGTCCTTGTGGAACTGAGTTAGTTCACTCAGCATAGTGCTTTCCAGTCCCTCCTAAGTTAGGTAGTAATTTACAAAATCATTTCTCCTGTGTGCTGCCTAATATTCCATTGTACAAATGTATCACAACTTCTCAATCCATTCATTTGTGGTTGGACATTTAGGCTGTTTCCATCTTCTTACAATGGTGAATATTACTGCTATGAACACTAGTGTACAAGTTTCCATTTGAGACTCAGTTCTCATTTTCTTGGGGTATATTCATTCCAAGCAATGGAATAGTGGGATCATATGGAATTTCTCTGTTCAACTTTTTGAGGAAGCACCAAACTGCCTTACAGAGTGGTTGTACCATTGTATGATCCCACCAACAGTGTAAAAGATGAACCTACTTCATTAAGAAATGTCCATGGTGTGTTCAAGTAAACTTGGATTTACTTTGTGTAAGGGAGTGACATTCACCTCCCTGTCTCTAATCTAGACCTTTCCCAATATTTCTGATATAGCAGGGGACATCAATTTTTAAAATGCAAGTCTTATTTTGAAATTCACTTCCTTCCCAAATGCCCTTTACATAGAATCCTGAGTCTTTCACAAAGCCTTAGAGACCTTTGACTTTCACTTTTGCTTCCACCATAGTCTCCATCTTTCTCCAGGCTCCAGCCACACTGTATTTCCTTCAATTCTTCAATTATGTCTTGCTTCCTCCCACCTCAATGTCCAAGCACACACTGTTCTTTCTGCTTGGAATTCTCTTCCTCCTTCACTTGGCACATATCTATCGGTTTTTTTAAGCTCAAGTAAAATGGTATTAAAATGACACGTACGTAGGCAAGTGAAGCACACTTGATTCATGTAATCAGGATGACTGGAACATATAGTATAAAGAGGGAAGAGGGGAATGATGGGGGCTCAAGGGTCTAGTAGGGATCCAAAATCTTTGACCCCTGGGCTTTACAGAGCTTCATCCATGCTTTTATGTGCTGTCTACATTAGTACTAAGGAATTTTGCTACCAAGCCCAAGGTACACAACTCAAATGCACCAACTGCTATGCAAGAGAAAAATGGGCAATCTCTTCCTATGTGATTTCTAGACTCTGAAACTCAGCTATGACTCAGCCATGAGTTGGTTCCCACTTGATGGCACAATACAACAATAACACCTTTTTTTTTGAGGACAGAAAAAGAATTTATTCCAAAAGATGGCAGAAATAAATTCATTTGTTCAAAAAATATAGTTTGGTGCAATTTTATCACATCAGGACAGGTCTTCCTTCTGAATGAGGTCTCCTACTAACTGCCCTAATGGAGTGGTTTCTCCCTTGAAGGCACTTCTGAGCAGGTCTTGAAACACTTGGCTGGCTCTCACATAATGGACAGGAAAGTGTGATCTTCAAAGCTACAGATCTCAAAGAGAGGGTAAGGTATTTCTCCAAAGAACAGTATCTCCTCTATCAGAAGAGTGCATGTGTAATTGGCATAGTTGAGGTCAAGTAGGCACAAAAGTCATCAAAGTGTAAAAAAGATGACAGGAAAAATACTTCATTTTAGAAAAATACTTCATTCAAATGCGATGTGAATGTTAAGGCAGCTAATGCCTAACTAGGCCTGTCTGGGTCTGGAGGTGATTTTGCATATAGAGGAATTCTCTTCATGACCTCAATGACAGCACTGCAGGGCACTACGTCTTCTTCAAGGCAGTGATACTTGAGATACCAGATGGTGTAATTTTTCAACTGTGGTCCAAAGAGAGGGTTGAGCTGGGCCAGAATTGCAATCAGCCAAAAGAGGTAGCAGCAAACTGAACAGGTTACCGACATGGTGATGCTAACCTCCCTGGTTAGGAACCTTAGAGATGAACCAGGGCACTAAGGAGCCTAAAAGCCCCAGAACACGCTTATCGATATGAGAGGCATGGTGAGACCACTGTACGCCATCACCGCTGTGAGGTGCCAGCCCCTGCCCTGTCTCCTAACTTCAACAATAACATTTCTTTATGGGAAGCCAATACTAAATATTTGTAACAAACTGAATGCTGTATCGGGATGTGGGGGAGGTGAGGTACAAGCTAGAGTTCACCTTGAGGCACTAAGGCAATCCTTAGCAGGTTACCAGATTCTTGCAGTTGCTAACCCCTCCCTCCTGAATCAAGGGGAAGGTTTTCAATAGAAAGAGCTTGGCTTCATTTCCATTGAATTCTCTTTGTGATTTACTTCCTGATAATTTTCAATAAAAATACAGGGCAGCTGGAATAGGAGTCTTCAGTTGAAAACTGCTGGCCCCCTGTTTTATGCTCTCTGTTCTATCTTATTCCCAGCTGTTTCATTATTAATAATTATAAAATTACTTTACCCTTGGTCTGCAACATTTCTCTATGTGAGTGTGCTATCAGATGTTCCAGACTGGAGGACCCATGGAGGTCAAGGAGCATTCACTACTGCGTCTCATCCATCAGTGAAGTAATGATATTTAGGTTAATAACTACACCTCAAAATCTCAATGGTTTACAGAACAAGAAGTAAATTTTTCTTTTCTGTGTGACAGCTCAGACTGAGGGTAACCAGTCTGTGGTATCTCTGCTCCATGCAGTCATTTAGGAACCTTAGTGGAGAATGGCCCTGACATGTAAACACATGGTTTTCCATGTCTCTGTAGTAATGTTCACCTCAGTCAGCTTTAAGTGGGAGAGAGTGTGTACTTGCATTAAAGATACTCATATCCCTCGCACTTCCGTTTAATTGGAGGGAATTTAGGCACACGTCCACATAACTGCAAAGAGAACTGGGATGTGTCAGCTAGCAGGCCAGACCCTGGTCAGCATTTCTTTATCACAGAGGGGAGCTCTGGTGGCCTAGTCTGTAGTTATGCTATTAACCCAAAGGCAGTGCCTCTTGAAGGTTCAACTATAATAGCACCTTTGCATTATTCACCATCACAAGAACAACATGGAAACAGCTCAAATGCCCAACCATAATCAAATGGATTTAGAAATTGTGGTACATTCACACAATGGAATACTATGAGCATGCAGGAGCAATGGTTTCAAAAATTACTACATAACTTTGTAGAGATTGGAGAGCATTATGCTAAGTGAACTAACTCAGTCCCGTAAGGACAAATACTGTAAAAGACCATTATTATAGAAGTAGAAGATAACTAGTAAAATGTGTATGAGGATGCACTGGGAAGAAAGGGGAGGCAGGAGGGTGATTACGGAAGGGAGGAAATTATAGGGTCACACAATTTGATGGGTGGAGGGCAGGGTGGATTAAAGAAATGGGAAAGAGTCAGTGGAGATTTAGCTTGGCAAAATTGGATCTTGGTGGGTGTTTGTGATTTACTTGAAAGCCAGGGTAAACTGTTTGGACATTTCTAAATTGTGTTAGCAATCAAGTGTAAGCTGATTAATTGTATCTGATCTCATTTACAGTCAGCTTGGGTGGGAAGCTTCTGTGTGGAAAAAACAGGATCTGATTGGTGGGTCTTGATATTTAAAAATTAGTCTGGTCCTATCTATGAGTAAGATGTTAGCTTCGTGAAGTTTGTTCCTGGTGAGTGTTTGTGATTTACTTGAAAATAAGTGTAAACTATTTGAATATTTCTAAATTGTGTTAGCAATCAAGTGTAAGCTAATTAACTGTATCTGATCTCATTTACAATCAGCTTGAGTATGAGCCTCTTGTGTGGGAAAACAGCATCTGGTGGATGGGCCTTTGTGTTTAAAAGTAGGTTGGGCCCTCAGGCCTTCTATTGGTTGTGTTTGGAGTGAATGTTGTTCTAAGTGGTACAGCACTTGTCTTTCAGTTTGCTGTACTGTGATTACATGGGGTTGCTGTGAAACTGAAACCTTTTCCACTGATGTGTCAAATTCCAAAAGGATTTCCCATCGTGGACAGATTTTGGTGGAGCTCCTTGATTAAGACAGACTAGGAAGCAGGATGGGACATCTACTTCCTAAATAAAAGGCTTTTGAAAACTCCATGAACACTAAACAAGGAGGATAGTTATGGTAGTGTAGTGGTAGAGCTCAGACTGGAAGTCAGTTGAAATGAGCAAAATCAATAACAACATAATTTAATAATTGGTACATGGAATGTTCATAGCTTGGGTTTTTCAAGCTGGAAAACAGGAAATTGTTAAAAAGTAAATGGAACGCATGAATATTGACATATTAAGCACTAGTGAGAAGTGATAGATGAGTTGTAGCCACTTTGAATCAGATAATTATATGGTGTACTGTACAATGAAAAAACCAAAAAAGAATGGTGTTGTATTCTTAGTTAAAAAGTAAATTTCAAGTTCTATCCTAAAATACAATGTTGTGAGTGAAAGGACAATACCCATACACATACAAGGAAGACCTGTTAACATGACTATTATTCAAGTATATGGTCCTACATCTAGGGCCAAAGAGGAAAAAGTTGAAAATTTTTACCAAATTTTGCCATCTGAAATTGACCAAACATGCTATCAGGATGTGTTAATGATAATTGGTGACTAGAATGCAAAAGTAGGAAACAGTGAAGAAGGAACAGTAGTTGGAAAATGAGTGGCATCCACTTCCTAAACAACTTGTATCTGGAACAATGTCTCTATGAACTTTGATAAATGTTGATAGTCGCAGAGGGGCTTCAGGCCTTTTGTTCATAGAGTTTCTATGAGTCGTGCTTGACTAAAAGGCAATCAACAACAACAAGAGAAATGAGGCTGGAAATAGAATAATTGAATTTTGTATTTACAATGAATTATTCATTGCAAATCCTTTTTTCTAAAAGATACAAAAGATGAATTTACAATGTGTATTTTATCTGAAGGGCTGCATAGGAATCAGATGGTCTATATTTGTGGAAGAAATCATTGGAGAAGCTGAATATCAGCAGTCAAAACTAGGCCAGGGGCAGATTGTGGGTCAGATCATCAGTTATTCATATGCAAGTTCAAATTGAGTCCAAAGAAAATGAAAGTAAGTCAACAGGAACCAAGATAAGATCTTGAATCAATTCCACCAGGATTTAATGATGACATTAAGAATAGGGTTGAGGCATTGAACATCAATGATAAAAGACAAGATAAGTTGTGGGATGATATCAAGGATATCATCTATGAAGAAAGCAAAAGGTCATTACAAAAACAGAGGTTTGTTGTTGTTGTTGTTGTTATGTGCCGTCGAGTCGCCTGCGACTCATAGCGACCCTGTGTACAAAAGCCCTAAACTCTGCTCTGTCCTGTGCCAATCGCACTGTCTCTGACGCTCCCATCCTGATTATCCCAGTCACTGAATCAATCCACCTCATAGAGGGCCTTCCTCTCCTGCGC